CCCCGGGTTGCCTGTTCCTGGCTCTGGGAGGGGAGGGGAGGGGGGACTAGGGGTCAGGACCCCGGGTTGCCTGTTCCTGGCTCTGGGAGGGAGGTGGGGACTAGCTTTTGGAACAAGGCTGGGCTCAACTTTTTAACCCAGAGCTAGGCTGACTGCTGCAGGCTGAGTGCTCCTAGCCCAGCTGCGAACGGGCCAGCTCGGCCCCCTCTCTGCCCTGCTCTGCCAGGGGGTGGTCAGGATGCTGCACAGAGGCCAGTAGGAAGCTGTCCGAGTGGGCCCTTGCTAGGGGAACAGTTGTATTTAGGCTGGGCTCTCCTGCCCACACAGACCGCCCTAGCTGCTACCTTTCCCTGGGCGCATTCATCCAGGGGATCTGGCCCAGCACCGGGCCCAGCCATCTGCCAGGCGGCCCGAGTCAGCAAGTGGATTTGCCAGCTCTTAGAAAAATCAGCTGTTAGCAAGTCTCTGCATTGGCTCTAGGGATGCTGCTTCTCTGGACGGGTCCTGTCTCTGCCCTCATCTCGCTTGTTGTGCTTCAACTCTGGGAACAAATCCTTGAATCTGCCTCCCATTGGTTCCGTTTGGGAGTGGCAGCACGGCCCTGCCTCCCACACCTGCTGTGGGGTAGGGTGGGCCCAGCAGGGGAGCGGGAAGACCTTGGGGTCCCACAGCTCCCCTTCCCTGCTGCCGTGGAAGAGGCCAGGCTGCTCTGCTCTGCTCTGCGCTGTCGGAGCAGTGCTGCCCTTCTGCGGGTGTCTCGGTCTCTTTGCAGATCCAGCCGCGCCGGGCTGTGACTTCGCGCTTGTTCCCCAGCGGTGGGGATCTTTCAATAGGGAGTTTGCGGAGGGGAGAGCTTCGTGACTTTCAGGGTGCAGGTTCTGTCTCTGGGATCCGCCGTGTGTTGCTCATCTGCTTCCCGGCCCCACTTACTCTGGCTCCCCTGGATTGGCTGACTCTCTGCCTATCCCCTAGCTCTGCCGCTAGCCTAGTCAGTTTCCCTTGGTTTCTAGTCAGTTTCGCTTCCTGCTTCTCATGCATGCCAACAACTGGGGCTGTCTGCCTTAAGGCTGCTGGGAAAGGTTGCACTTTGGCCAGTTTGCGCCCCCACCCCCAGTCAGTACCTCCTGCCGTACCCCCTCCGTGGTGCCAACTCTCGCCATATCTGATCTCTTCATAGATTGTGAGGCCACAAGGGACCACTGCCATCATCTAGTCTGGCCTCCTGTGTAACGCAGGCAGTAGGAGGGCCCCGAATTAGTTCCTGGGGGAGCTAGAGCAAATCTGTTAGAGAACCCTCCAGTCCTGACTTAAACCAGCTCTTACAGCCCCGGCTGCCGGAGTCGCGTGCTGGCCTGAGACGCACGTTTAAAAACCAAAAGTAAGTTTCTTGCCCTCGTGGTCGGGAAGGAGACGTTGCCGACGGGAAGCAGGGCTGTCCCAAAGGCTCAGAGCCCAGGGACCCCCACTCCAGGATTATTTAAAAAAAACCTCGTGAGTTTGCAGCTGGTCTCGATTTGGGGGTGGGCAGGTTTCTGAACACTTGGGGCTAACAACACTTTGCCCTTCCCTGTCTCCTCAGTTGGGGGGCATGTCTCCCATCTGTCCCCCCCTTAACTGCTGCCTGGGCGCACAGAAACCAGGGATGCCTAGAGCGCCCTGCCTTGACTGACCCTGCTGCCCACAGGGCTCTGTCGCGGGTGCGCCCAGCAGCCCGTGCCCCTCGGGCACTCTCTTGCTTCTCAGCCCTGTCTGTCCTGAGAGAACCTTCCGCCCAGCCCAACTGCCCCCTGCAGCTGACTTCAGGACCAGTCCACAACCAGCCAGGCCCTGTCTGTGGGAGAGAGGTGGAGACCAACAGGTCTGTCTGGACTGCAGCTGCCAGCGGGCCGACAGACTCCAGCACGTCGTGCCGGGCGAGAGCCCCACGAGTGCGAATCACGTGGAAATGAGGCCCTGCTGCATGTGGCACCTCGTGTCGCGTGTCCCCCTCTGGCACGGACCGGGCAGGGTCTGGTGAGCAAGGGGCAGCCCCTTTCCACCCGTCTGCATGGTGGTTCCAGCCAGCAAGCCAAGGGTTAACGGATCACTGACTGTCGGCAGACAGGGCCGGTGAATGATGCCCTTAGAGCCCAGCAGGGCCGGGCTCTGCCTGCTGTCGGGCTGGGTGATCCCGGGTCACCTGGCCCCTCAGCGGCACTTCCCGAAGTTCTTAGCAAGCCCTGGGTCTTCCCCTTGTGGGGTTCCCCTTGGAGCCAGGCCCGGCTCTGACCTGAGCAGATGGGGGTCGTGTGGACTCTTGTTAGCGCTGCGACCCTCAGAATCCCCCCGGCTGCAGCTGCTTCCCTCGGGCCCCCCGCCCCAGGCGAATGGAGCACACCCCCGGCTGTGCTGCCGCAGCCAAGCCAAAGCGCCAATGCGGGGGGTGGCGCTTCGGGAGGGGCAGAGACTGGAGAAGGGGCTTGTTCAGCCAATGAGCTTAGACTCTGGATGGCACTTTCCAGCCAGCCCCGCCCCAGAGGGCTCACCCTCAGGACAGACGGTTCCCTGCTGTGCCGGGACTGCAGGCAAACGGGTTGGCAAGCAAAGGCAAACCGTGGGGCTTGAGCCCTGTTGCCTGCCCTGAAAGCTGGGCTCTGTCTCAGCCGTGGAAGTTCTGCTGCGTCGGCCCCGTTGCCGCTCGTACAGTCCCTGGGGCTTTCGGCCGGACTGGTCTGGGCTGGAAGGCTCCGGGGCTTTGCCTTGGGCCCAGAGCTGGTCTGGGGCATGTGCATAGCGGGGGGGTCACTAGGAAACCAGCTGTACTACAGCGTGGACAATAGGTTACGCTAGGGAGGTTAACTCTTAAACCCAGGTTACCCCCCCTTCATTGACCCCTTTGGAGCCAGGTCTCTGGGCGAGCCAGGGGTTGGGAACAGTGGCAGGATCTGGTCTTTGCTTTTTGTAACAAGTCATTCATCCGGCCCTCCCCCAGCTCTGGGCCTGATCCCTGGCACTGGTGGCTCCTGTATGTACCGCTTGCGCTGTGCAGTGCCTCCGTTCTTCCCAGAGAGTTTCCAGAGCAGATGTTTCAAATTTGAAATAGTTTCTATGCGCTCAGCTCCCAAGTGGATAGATGATTTCTAGGTTCTCCTATTCCCCATAAAGGCAAAGGCTGTTTCTAGGTGCCCCATGTGAAGAGAAAAGTGGTTTCTAGGTGCCCTCTGACCTTTTGCTTTACAACAGGGGTGGGGAATCAAAAGCCCAGGGGCCGGATATGGCCCCTAACTTGCGTAGGTCCAGCCCCTGAGGTTCAGGGCTCCCTCGCCAGCATTGGGGAGCCTGTGCTGGTACTCCAGCCCCCCTGCTATTCCCCGGTGGGGCTGGAGTGCACAAAATCTATTCGCCTGGGCCCTAGGATGTGAGGGGAATTGGGGGGACTGTCTTTATCCTTTGGTCTGGGGCCACATTAATGAGGGTTTGTTTTGGGGGGGTTTCCTCAGCTGTGTGGCCCCCAAGTGACTTGTTTCTGGGGGTGCGGGGCCCCTGACCCAGAAAAGGTTCCCCAAATTAAGCCCCCTTTGTCAGTGGCACCATTCCACACCCCCGCCTGGTTCTGGGATGGGCAGCAAGCCGGGTCAGCCCATGGGGCCTGGTTTCCAGCAGTGATCTGCAGGGGCAGCATCTTGGTTGGCGCTCCTGGCCCTCGACAGGGATGGGGGGCAGCGTTGGGCTGGGGGCTGCATGGCCCCCCACAGGGATGGGGAGGTTTGGGGGGGAGCATTGTGCTAGCGCTGCCCGGGGAGAGGAGAGATCGTCCCTGTCCCAAAGCTGGATCGAGTACAACCGCCAGAGAAGCTTCTGCCCTCTCCCCTGCCGGATGGTGGGGGATGGGAGCAGGTCTGCGCAAGGCTGGTCTGGCCTGGGGCGGGCAAGCAAGCGCCTGGTCTTAGGACCAGGAGTCAGGCCCGTGCACTGGCCCCTGTCTCTGGCCATGTCAGAGGGAGACAGGCTGAGCCCAGGTCCCCCCGTGTGGTTCGGTGCCGGGCTGGGCCTGGGGAGGGTCTGTGTTTGGCAAGAGGCCCTCAGCTCGGTGTAGAGTCCCGGGATGGCAGAGGGGCCAAGTCCTGCCCTGGGGGGGCTGGTTTACCCCCTACAGCCTCTCCCCCTGTTCATCCCCCTCCTCCACAGCTCTAACCATCTCCCCCTTCCCTTGCAGAACCTCACCTCCCAGAACGGCAGCTCGCCCAGCGGCACCGTGGTATAGCCCGGGGAACGCCCCGGGGACAGGTGTCCTCAGCTCGCGTAGGATCCGGGGGAGGGGGCACTGCCCCCTCCCTGGGCCCAGGCCCCTCGTTATTTAACGCTAATTGGCGCTGCGTGGACAGACCCTTCCCGGGGCAGAGAGCCGCTAAGAGAGGTTTAGTATCTAGCTACCTGTCTACAGAGCACAGGCCTCTGGGCCCCTCCCTTCACGCATTAATGGCCCCCGGTTAGAGCTTCGCCGAACATCCGTGCTGGAGCGATGGGAGCAGAGACGGTTTCCTAGTCCCTCACTTTGCACAACAGCCTGGACCTGACCTTCCCTTCCTCTGCCAAGAGACGCCCACGCGGGCACATAGACAGCCCTGGAGTAGGGGGCTCATGGCCAGAGACCCGGCACCCTGCCGCCCCCGTCCCCCATCCCTCACGGGCAGGCCAGGCTTCGTACACGGCCGGAGCTGAGGGCATCTGCGCTGCAGGGCCTGTGTGCCTGCGCGTGCGCCTGGGCCCTGGCACGGGGACAGGCCTGTGGGGAAAGCTGCAGAGAGCCCTGAGTACAACCGCTTGGCTACCCCCCTCCCCATGTGAGAACCCCAATAAGCCAGGGAACCCCCCTGCTTGTGGTGCCAACCCCCTCCCCCCCGGCTTGTACCTGCTTTGGGCGGAGCTGAGCCCTGCTGGCTAGGAGAGGGAGCCGGCCTCCCTATGGACAAGGGCACCACCAGGCCAATTCCCATCTGTTGCAGCCTTGGCATTTCCCAGCCTCCTGGAGCAGGTGGTACCCCCAGTGCTCCCTGGCTGCACCCCCCCGGCCTGGCCACAGACCCTCCACACTCGGCTGCTCGGTGCCTAGGAACCAAGCCCTACTCCTGGGCTCCAGCTGGCGTGCGAAGCAGCTGGCCCCGTACTCAGCCAAGCCCCCGCCTGGGGACAGGTGTCCTGCCTCACGTTGGACCCCGGGACGAGGGGTGCTGCCCCCAGCTAGCTGAGCAGGGGCTGCTGCCTCCCACGCTGGGCGTAGGCTGGGGGGAGATGCCCCCCAGCCTGGGCCGGGCC